AAATAAAACATAGATTATTCAGTCAAAGCTCGCCTGGAAGGTTTTCTAGAAATCCTGTAAAGATCTTGAGAGTATGTCTGTTGGATTGGGCATCGATTTTAACTTATATGAATATACTTTGACTATAATGGAGAAGAACAGAAAAAAATAACTAAAAATCACCTGGCCCATTTGAAGGTGCCCTCAGTAAAATCGATTTTTCTCAGTGAGGAAAAGGAATTTTTGAAAAAGCTCTTCGTAACTTTGGAGCTACGCATCTGACGAATTTAACCATGTAAAAATATTGGCTCCAGCATCTCTAGAAAAATCTGTGATAGACTTGCAAAATTAAGTTTCGGTTTTTGAGCATGGCTCTGGGATAATTATTTTGCGAGCCGATGGCTTGTTCTAAGAATGATTTAAAACCAGTTTCTTATTCAGTTTTCTATGATCTATCAGAAAAACTAAGTTAAAAGATTCCATCTCGTAACATATTTAAAAAAAGAGGAATCTAAGAAAAGTTGCCAAATTGGCTGTTTTCGACACCTTCAGAGTTTTTTCAAACTTTCAACCGGAAAAAGGGTTGAGAAAACTCAAGGCACACATATTCTTGACCACCTTGAAACTCTCTGTCGAATGGTGTATGGTATGTAAAAAAATAATTTTTTTACTGCATTTTTGCTTTGCGTGCATCTTAGCTTGATCAATTCTTTTTTCTTTCGCTTTGGGAATGATTGTTATATCTGTTCATGCAGCAATTTCAGATCAAATAAAACGTCGTATCTCATATTCGATCGAAGTTCTATTTGATCAAAATCAGGAGAAGTCAGTGCAAAGCTCCGAAGATTTCCATCGTTTGCTGTCCTAATCTTAAATCCTATAAACGAGTTTCATAAAGTTTTCGTTTCTGCAAACAAAATGGTATACCTGAGACTTCACAGCGATTGCAGCCATGCTCGGCTGTGGGTTCTGGTAGACACTGGAGCAGATTCTGTGCTGGTTTGTCACAGCACGCACCTATGAAAAAGACGCCTGCTGTGACAGGAATATCATCATCATCATCATTATGTAGGGAGAATGCCATACCCTGCTCAAGTGCAAGAAGTTCATTAACAAGTGGACGGAAAAACAAACTCATTTCTGCACGAGATGGTTTGCTTGGACCGGGCCATACTCCTACTAGGATAATATTCTCTAGTGCAAACCGTTTTTTCAATGGAATCTCATTGATGACAATTAATATCGGCCAAATAGTTTATTGGGAGCCTTTTTTAGGCTGTACACCATCCACATTTAACATTAATGTTAAAAAAGATTAATGAATGTCATTTTGTAACTTTTGATGAATTGCTCCATCACGTATATCTTTCATAGAAGTAGCTTGACAACGACGTGTGGGAAAAACATCTCTGTTATAACGAACAATTCGCTCAATTTGGTTGCGAATTGAGAAAGACAGAAAAGAATTTGGTTTGATCATATTATTGAAATGATTGCTGCATTGAGAACATACAGCACTACTTGTTGATGTTCCTTGGCAATCAGGACAGATGAATGTTTGAGTAGGAGGTGTATATATTTCTGTAAGATTTTTTTTTAAGGCGATACCAATTCGAAGGAATATTTGGAACATTCAAAATCCGTAAGAAAGAAATTATATCATCGATACAGGATATAGAAAGACGGTGACGTTTCTTCAGAAGTATTAGTGCACAAGAAATATCTTTTTCTGTGATGATGGATTGTGTATTACATGACAATTGTTCAATTCTTTTTCTACATATCAGCAAAAAATATTTTAAAACTAAGAAACAATGAAGTATATAGATCATACATAGCATCAGTCAACAATTTTGTAATTGTTTTTCTGTTACATTCAGTGCGGTGAGAACATGAGACAAGATATCACTTTTCTCATCAGGATCTACAGTTGCTTCACCGCATAAGATTCTACCAACGTCAATTAAATAATCAATTATTGTTTGATCTGTAGGACGAGCTAGAATAGAATACACTCTGTTATGTTGTGAAAAAAACATAAGACAAATCAGTAAACTCGTTAGAAAATTCTGATTCTTCAAATTAAAGCTTTGTCCAAGACTTTTTGTGATTGTTATTTGATAAAAAAAGATGGACGCTGATATGCCAACTCGTATCGATATATTATAACTTTCTCCGTATGAAAAAGTACGTCAATTTGAAACTACATTTCTCCTAGTTTAGATGATTGATATAAGTAATTGTCGATTAAATGTTGGTCATAAAAATGCTTTTACTCATGCATCCAGGTAGTTTGGTATTCCAATAGTTGAGCTTCAAGCGCACTCGCTTTCCGTTCTAGCATAACGTGCACGCTGGTTGGTACACTTCTTCCACAGGAACCACGATAATACTTCGAAGAAGATTCATTATCAGCGTCAGATGATAATTTCAGCTTTTGAATACCAAGACTGGATTCTGCTCCTTCTAAAAAAAAAGCATACGAAAATGATTTCACAAAAATCAAAAAACACTTAATTGAAACAGTGGATTGAGAACCATCGGAAGAATTGGATCTAACAACATCTTTTGATGATTTGTCTTCATCAGCATCAAATGTATGATTTTTGTTTCCTAAATCAACATGTGCGTGTTTTCTTTTGTTGGAATCCGACGAATAAGTGTAGTGCGAACATACAAGCAAGCAGACAATTTATGTTTGTAAGACTCTTCTCTACGAGAAAGAGGATATACGATTGTCGTCTATACGTTAATGAGTTAATTAACCATAAATTAACGGTTAACTGCAAATCATTAACGTTAATATTGACGTTAACTAAAACTGTTAATCGTTAATATTAACGAATTAACTTTTCTAGTGAAACCGTTAACCGTTAATATTAACAGTTAACGGTTTTAATTAATTAACGCCGTTAATTAACTCGCGTTAAATTAGCTGGTCCACCCCTAATTACAAGTACATTTTTTCAAGTATTAGTAAAATACCCGTACTTGCTATACTTGTACTAGTCCGAGCTCAGTGTTAAAGATTAAAACTTTCATAAAAATAGACAAAAAAACTCATTTCAGAGGCAGCTGAAAATGGGAATTTTCCCAGTGAAACAATCATCTATGAATAATTGCACTGGGAATTTTCCCAGTAGAAGAACTGATTTGTAGATTATATATAAACAGCATCAATAAGAAGAATGAAGTAATAATTCTCGAAACACAAAAATATTATCCTTACATCTATCTGTCGCCGTCTTTCTACAAAACCACGATATTCAAAAGATGCCTATTGATATAACACCCTTGAGTATGGCCATAGTAAGTCGTAAGATGCTCGATAGAAACTTTCTATTCTATCCTCGAAAATATTTTGCGAGCATTAGATGCACTCTCTTCACTCCGTTGCGTTTAAACTACATGCGGATTCAGCGTTCGCCTTGCACAGCTAATAGCTTAAAACGCTAGGTGCTACTACTGTAAAGTGGACTGCAAAAGTTTAAGACACTTTTTATTTTTGAATTTTCCCGTGAACTAAAGTAGCTAGAATAAATCCGAGAACGGATTTATGTAGGGAACACCTTAGAGTATCTAAGCATGTAAGAAGAAAAATTTTCATTTAACTTTAGCAAGTTTAATAAGATGAAATTTTACAAATTTAAAAGCATTAAATTTTCAACTTTTTTAAAGTTAGCCAAAAGTCATTTTCGATGATTCAGAAAAATAGAGCAGACTTTTCTCGTCAAAATGAGACGTTGTACGACTCAATGCGATTTTTCTTCAATGAGTTATTGATTTTTCTCAGAAAGCAGCATACCAAAA